AAAATTTTACCAGTTATTTAGATTGATATTTTATTTTTACTTTTTATCAAAATATTCAAACGTAGGATAAATATTTTAACTAACATAATTAATTTTCATTTATTGTTCAGGTAAAGTTTTAAATCAAAATCAAAACTTTATAAAATATAACTTTAGCTATTTATTGGTTAATTTTGGCAACCATATTACTAAACATCTTCCAATTAAAAAAACAATATTATTATCAAAGTATTAACCTAACCTTATATTTTTTGGCTATAACCGTGTGAAATAAAATCAATTATCATTTATTTATATAGTTTTAATTAATTAAAAAATTTAAATTTTTATTTAATTTTTAATTTTATAGTTTAAACTGTAAATTGTAATAATATGTCAGACAAGTCAAGACGACACGTCACTATCTGGGTCAATATACCATTGAATCGCTGTCGTGTTCAATCTGTCATCATAACATGATGTGTGGCGTTTTTGCTGCTTTGTTATATACCATAAATACGGTTGGTAACATCAAAAAAATTGACTTATAGTTTATGGAAAGGGGGCACAGCTATCTGGAGGCAGATAGCATCCACGCGACGATTGAAAGGTATAAACAACATCGGAATTTATATGTGCCGAGTGATTATAAATGTTTAATTGAAATGTGTAGGGAAAAAACCATTTCCTTACGAAGTTTACCAAAATCGATTTGATGATATTTATGATCTTCAGGACTTGAGTACTAAAATAGAGACGAGCAGAAAAAAACGTTAAGGGCGAAGCTATGAAATGGTTGAGATTTCAGATTTGTGCAAGGTGAAAATTTAGTTGGTTATAAGTATGACGTAGTTGTAGGCAATTTTGATTTTTGAGTACATAAACGTCAATGAGAAAAATATGTTATGGGAATCCATTAACATTCCCAAAAAATATAATGAACAACACCCAGTAGTGTTTTGGCCAAAAAAAAGACCTTATGAACCTYATCAAAAAAGGAGTTATACCTCATGACTACTTCTCCTTCTTCGATGATTACCCTCAGCTGATGGAAATAGAGACCAAGCTTTATGGAATGTAGACGACGAACAAGAAACTTTGGACGAACATTAAAGTTAATTAAGTATTTTTAATTCATTTTTTTAACTCATTTTAATTGTTTAATTCTTTCACTGACATGTTAAATTAATTTTTACATAATACTTATTTGTGTTCTGTTATTTTAAATTGTAATTTTGAAGAACAATAAAAAAAAAGTTTTGATATTTGATATTTGAATTTTTGAATTTTCATTTCTATGTCCATGTTGAAGCTGTGTCTTATGTGCACAGAAGTTCTGTCTGACTTTTAATTTAATTTAATTGAATTTGATTGTAAAAATAACTTAAACTTCCTGTTATAATTCAAACACTTCACAATTTTTCAAAAATATTTTATTTTGGATAGTAATTAATAATTACTAATCATAAAAAAGGAATATCTGTTCTAGTTTTAAAGCTATGCAAGCAACAAAACTTCATTAGTGATTTGCCAAAAATGAGGAAAATGGACATGGAACAYGTGTGCTCTTAGGTATCGATATGTACATTTAGCCATTTAGTAGGTAGAAGTATTAAGCCTATAGTTGTAATTGCGGACAACAGCAGTCTGTAATGTATAAATCAAGCAACGTTCGTAGACTTGTAAGTCGTAGRTCAACGACAACGAGACAACGACGCGTTTTCGGAAAAACACGATATGGTACAATTTAACGACGACTTATTGTCCTCGTCCACGCRGTGTTGCAGTAAATCCTATTAGCCGTTACCCAAGTGTTGGTCATTGGTCATAATACTCATAACTCATAACTCATAATAATATACCTTCTAAACCCTACACTGTATAGATAYAGTATAYATGATGCACGTTTCGACGATTATTTCGCAGCTGTCTACAGGCTACATCAGCGTATTGTTTCGTATATTATTAGACATATTATGTTATAGATAATTAATGTTATTATGAACATACTGTTACATAGCGTCGTATAACACACACACACACACACACACACCGACGAATACTGATGTTTGAAAGCGCTTTGCCTGCGGTTCTGAATTCTTCGATCCCTCAGAGAATGACAAAAAAGCTCTCACCCTTCGATGGAGTTACGCATGCGCTGGCCGGCCGGYGTGTGTCGTGTAGCGGTCGGCGCGGGCCGCGGGAGCCGGGGAGCACGTGCGTTTTCGCCCCCACTCCGGAGAAACCTGAATAAAGAAACGACATGACACGACRATGAAATAATAATAATGAACYATACAACAACAACAATATTAATATAATACATAAACAATATTACATTATGCACGTACAATACTGCATACCTACTATATCATAATAATATAATAGGAGTGAAATCGTATAGAAAAAACCGGCTCGTAAGTCGTAATATACGCACACACGCGCATCAGACCTACCGATATTCGCGCGCACGCGCACCACACCGTCACTACACACTTCAGGCGAGTGCGGCGATTTCCCCCTCCCACCGACCGTCCGAAACGCATTTCATCGCTGCACTACACTTACTATAATATTATTATACCTATCCCTATCAACAGACCGCTATAATACGACCGCCGACTGAGCTGCATATCGCCGCCAACTCTAACTCTATAGTTTTTCGTACGCACAGCGACTACGGCCGGCGGCGTCAATCGCATTCGCTCATTCGCATAGCGACCGCGATCGCTATTGCCATTTATTGTTTATTTGCGCTTGGAATTTCTTCGACACGGACACGGACCACAATTATTTGAACACTGTTACTGTAACAATTTTATCGTTTTCATACGATTTTCGAACTCTTTCTGCGCAACAATATCTCGGGTCGCATACCTTTTCCTCCACGGCGATACACCACCAGGACACATCATGACGACCGACGAATGGGGATACGAAGAGTTTAACGGTAGGTGCTCGGAGAGCTTGGCTAGTACCTAGACTATTATTACGTTTTTTTAAAAATTTATTACTTTTACTTAGGACCACTTTGAACTACTATCACGGTAGTTTTTAGTTAGAATATTATAATTATAATATGCACAATACACAAATTTTATAGTTCATAGATTTATGTGTTGACGGCACCTGTTATTATTATTGCTGTGTTATTATTCTATTACGCCTTAATTTTATTCGGTTACGTTGCTGTATATTATTATCATCCGTTCGATTAAAACCAGTTTTTGACCAGACTCGGTATTGGGCTGTAWTAGTAGAAATGGTGGAATATTTATTTTACCTATTCTTCATTTATGTTCTTTATTTAATTAGATATTTGATATTCCTTCTATTTTGTATTGTAAGCATATGATTACTAATGAAGCAAATATGTACATATTTATGATCGTAGGGAACTAATTTTTAAATAATCTCCTTTTCAAATGATGTGGAAAATATACTTGAAAAATGTCATAAAAGTTCTGATGATGAGGTATTGGGGTGATTAATTGATTATGTTTTAAATGTACCACAAAAAGTAGGTTCACAATTTATATAGCTAGTAATATAAAAATTCAATTTTTTGGTTTTTTAATATTTGGTTAGGTCAGAAGGGCCATAATGAAAATGAAATAAACGAAAAATATCTTAGTACACTACATTMAATTCCCGTCTATAATTTTCGAATGAAGAATAAGAATAATTTCTCTTGTTAAGGATGTATTGTGTACCTAGTAGTTATATGTACYAATACTTTTGGTAACCATGATAGGTATCTGACTAAACTATTATTATTCTAGCAACTATTATAAAATCAGTCTATACGTTAATTACAATTTTACACACATTAGGTACCATCGATTTACTAAAATTATTTTCTGTTAAACTTTCATTTAGGTACCTAGATATATATATATTAACTTTTAATCTCATAATTCTTATTTAAATTCAAAAATATTTAGAAATCTCGGACTGAATATCCCTCTGTATCTATACGATTTTTCGCGATTGTTATCAAACGTATTTTTCTAGATATTTCTGAGTTAAATTTTTWTTTAATTAACGGTTTTAATTATCTACATATATATTTTACTAATAAATGTCGTAAATTATTCCAAAGAGAAGTGAAAGCTTTGCGCCTATACAAATGTCGATGATATAATAATATATTATTATGTTTGTAGTGCGGCAACTTTTACATTCATACCCGAACTTTTACTTCATAATAATTCATAATTGTTAGTATAATATTTTTTTATTAATAGTTTTAAAAAATTACTTACATTATGTTATTATGTAATTTATTTTGGTAGATAGGTTACTGGTTACATAGTGGTATAAAGATTAAATTCACTATTACCCATGGATTTTAGAATCTGACTTCTTTTAACAAAAATTACATTTATTTTGAAACTTTTTGCAACTATTTATACTATTATTTAGTATTTWTTGTACAAAATGCAATTTTTTAAACATTTAGAATAATTTTTATTTAATAATCTCTGAATCTATTCACACTGTCGGTGTTGGCATAATTTAAGTTAATAACAGCTAATTATACTATATTGTACGTAGTTTTTACTGCCAAAAATTAGTCCAACGTATTGTATTAGATAATAGTTAAATTAAATAACAGTACATATTATAATAATATAAATAAAAATAAATTATACTTTTTAGTTTAATAATAACATGGCTGTCTGTCTCCGTTCAGTACTGTTTTTCGTATGTAATGATTTATCATTATGTACCTTATTCAATGATGAGGTTTATTTGACACCTATACACGCCTATACAGTAGTGTGATTTCTCTGTTCTTTTACCATCTGGTAGAATCTTAATTCTATTGACTGTTCAAATGAAAACTATTATATATAGAATGTTTTTAAATTATTCAATTTATTAATTATTTACCAAATAATAAAGACATTGTCTTAAACGTATAAATAAAGGTACCTATTTTATTTGAAGGGTATTCGGTATAAATATTTGGCCCATCCCAAGTATTTATACCTACATCCTTCATATTATGCTCGTCATACTATATAATATAATACCAATAAATATACTATTAAACGATGGGAAACATTATAGTTAAATAAATAAATTATTAACAATATTATAAAGCGATATCCATTAAATAATGTAACGTTTATAGCAACTGATTTAAAAGACACAGTGGGTAAACCCCTTTACTTTAAAACAGCATGTTAAAACTATTTTTACGGAATTAAGGAAGGCCAACTTTAATTAATATATTTTATTTTTACTACTAAAAGTTTTTTCTGTCTTTCTTACTTAGTATTTTATGAGTTTTTGATTGATTTGTTTTTTGTAAATATTAAAAACCTGACGGAAAGCTTCAGACAATGAATTAATTTCCAATTATATCATATGATAATTGGTTTACAGCCATATACAATACATAAATATTTGTTTTAATGCATTGGTCTCAATTTTCTCATTACAACGCAGTATTACTCGTGTTATTTTTGTTAAAATTTTTCAATTTTTCTGTGTGATGGTTTTTCGAAGAAAAAAAGTTTATAGTTTGAACAAGTACCAACCTTTCTTTTTTAAGTGCAATGTTAATAGTATTTAGTTATTTACATTATTTTTAAATTTAAATTTTACTTCTACTGTCATTTGCTTCAATAGATTACACGTACAACTCTCCCTATATCTCACTTCTCACTATTCTCACCATTATTTTTAATTTGACATTTTTAACATTAATAAATACAAATTATGCGTTGTGAGTATGTGAAACTTGTAATTTCAGGAAATATTATAAATCATGACATTTTAATGATACAGTCAAGTTTTTTAAAATATTATTCCTGAATTACATGTATTACTACATTTTATTAGTAATGAATCTATTATCTAACCTGTTTTTATTACAAGTTTGAACAATGTATGTGTTATCGTAATAAATTTAATTATTGGTAGGAACCCAATATATAGATTTAAATAGAATTTTGGAATTGCTAATAATTATTGTTGGTAATTCCCAACTAGTATAGAGATTTTATAATATTCTAAACATAAGATACCATAAATACTACTGCAGTATAAACACACATGAATGCTATGATCATGTTATCAATTATGTTTATATGCATTAAGATATTTAAGCTAATATCTGCAATAAAATATATACTTTGAATACTCAATTTTTTACTAAGTTCTAAATTAATAACATTGTATTCGTTTTTATTATTCAAATTATTTTTCTATAATAACACATTTTATTATTTATTTTGATATTTTTTTTACACATTTTATTTTTTTGTGTTACATGATGTTTTATAACTTAAACCCTCTTAATATTAATCATARTATATAGTTGCATAATAAAGTATTTAGTTAGGTTATGTGATCATCCGATAAATTAATATTTAAACAATAATACTGTATAATTTAACAAAATTAGATTATAAAATATAAATTTAGAAATAACTACTATACTTAGCTATAGTATGAGACATGAGTGTTATTACTTTTTGTGTATTATGTTGGATTAGACCACTAGAGTTATGCTCTTCACGCACAATCAAGCGTTTTGTGTAAAATGTTTTACTCTGACAAATTTTGTTGAGATAGGCGTTGATAAACGTAAATATGCACCTATAATAATGGTTGTCACTTGTCAAGCGTATTTTGTGTATATCATAATAGTTATTTTTCGATGACTATAATTTATCTTTCAAAATGTCCGTGTTACTGTTTCTGATGATTAACGTTAAGTTAATTAACCATAATATATTGTACCTTTAAAATTATATTCCGGTGAAATATAATTTACTAACTAGCACAACGCCCAGCAAGTATAGGTAAGTCTATAGTAATATGCCATTATTAATTCTAATTTTTAAAATTGAATTACCGTAAGTATATACTGTAGAAGTACATTACATTATATTATTACTATGTGTATATTATATATTATATAACCCATAAACTTTTTCTAGTATTGCGTCAAAAAYATTATTTCTATTTAGATAAATACAAACACCGWATTTGACAAAATAAAATATATTGTACTTGACAATTATTACTTTTTAATTTATTATTATTATTTTAACGATGTGCATATTATAATTATTATGAGTCTGTTCGGCTGTAAATTAGAATAGGTATGCATGCAATAATTTTTTTTATTAGTTTAAATAGCGAAACAGACATATATTCCTTTTTCAATTCTGAATTTTTAAAAAGTGACGAATAAAAATGACCGATACAATAATATAATATAGAAGCGGTAACTATCAAAGGCTGTTAAATTCATTTGGTCGTTACTTGTTGCTAATTGTTTCACGTTGTTTCATGAATACTACCTAATCTTAACTCTCCACAGTCCATTACGTATTATTGTGTTCTAATGTTGCCYCAAAAAAGATAATAAATCTAAATGTAAGTAAAAACAAATTGGTTTCAATTTTAAAACTAAGTGTAATTCTATTTACATTGGCATTCCGAATTCATTAACGTTATTAATCATTTAATATAATATATGATCATTAATAATTATTCTATTTTCATTAAATTTAAATTTGAAATTATATATCTTCTCAGACTTTGGCGTGTCCAGACTCATTAGTACTATTAAAAATAAGTTTAGCAGTGGAATTTTATGTCAATCGTTGGATTTTTATCCATGGCGTATCGTTTCTGTCCGATTTACTMTACTGCGAAGGCGAAAGCTATACCAATAGACAAAAATATGCTGTACGAACTTATTGGATATTAAACAGTGTTACAGAATAATAACGAATTACGATGTTTAAATGTTTATATCTTATAATAAAGTAAGTACTATACTATAATAGRCAGGACAGCATTAAATAGGAATCTAATTGTGTACAATAATTAACTGGCGTTGTAGCTGATTGAGTTACCATAAGCCCGTAACAAATATAGCCTTGATGCTTGATGGTAAAGTACTGCCAAACAAACGGGATATAG